GCATTATGCACGCGACGTAAGTCAACTCTCCGCACCCAAAGGTAACCACACAACCTACCTCTAATCTCATTATAACAGAAAGCGAGAAACCGGTGCGCCCGATGTGAAAAAAAAATACATATCATAAAGCGTGGGAACACCGTGATGAAAAAACAAAACAACAGAGATAAAATATCCGCTATATATATATATATATATGTATAAAAAAGCAAAGATAAATCTATTCAGCGTGAATGTACTTCCAAGAACCTCGTATCCATCCCGAGATACAATCCAAAAATGGAAAAAGTTGATTTTTTTTTTTTTTTACAAATTAACAAAAGGGACATGAGGAGAGAACGAGCTACTTTTCGTGACCGTGCGATAAGGCAATCATATATATATATGTTACAACGTACGAATGTATATATATAAATGTGTATATATATAGAAAGAGAGAGAGAGAGAAGGAAAGAGAGATGCAACAGTAATATATATTCATCTCATCTACTAATATATGTGTGTATGTATATATAAACGTGTATGTATATATAATAGTAAAAAAACTCGTGTGTTTCTCTTTTCACAAAAAGTCCAAGCATACCAGCACGTGTTACCAAGATATATATATATATTTGCTAATTTGGTAAAAAAGTGGAAATATAAGAAAAGCGATGTGAGAATTATAGCGTTAGGGTTATGTTAAAGTAAACGGTGAGAGACAAGGTGAGTTAAACAAGAGGAGAAGAGTGTTATGGCTCAAGATAAATCCGGAAAATACCATTTCTCTCTAACAGTCACGGATTCGTGATTGGCAGCGTGAGCCGACAGATCGGGAAGGGACATATTCACTAATCGGAGAGCAAGTTCATCGCGGATGGCGAGAATGGTCCCGTTTGATTTTTTCTCGAAAGATTTATCACGTTGGATTTTGCTTCGCTTTTTCAAAAAAGTCGCGACAGAGACGATACAATTTTCGTGACTGTCGTCAAAGCGAAACTCCAAAAAAGTCGCGAGTTAAGTTGGAGAACTAGGTTGGCGCGCGCACGCGCCTCGACGCGCGCAGTCATTAAAATACTTCGTTACCCGAAATATCATGTCGCGGAGTTCTCGTCCGCTTCTTCGTAAACTTTGCCGCGACGAAGCGCGAAGATGCGAGAAACGAAAACGCGCGAAACACGTTAATTACTCGCGATGTTTTCCAACAACGGAGGGATTTACCCGCGCCCGCGCACGTTTGCGTTGAAAGTTGTCAATCCTCTAAATTAAAGTGTCTCACCGTAATTGGAAACTCCACTATCTTTCTTGTCTCGCGTTGAAAAAGATCGATAGCGATCGATCGTATGCTGTAATGCGCGCGACGAAAATTGACGATCGGCGTCGCGCGTGACGAGACCACCTCGCCGTCCAGGGCGACTTCGCTACTTCTCGTATCTATTGTGACTACTGGGACAACATGGAGGGCTAGTTGTTAAAAAGGGGTTTTTTTGTTTTTATGGTTTTGGTTTCCACGTAGGTGGATTTCTGGGGTACCTGCGTCCACGCTCGCGGCTGTACTGGCCACCGTACTTGCTGCGATTCGCGGCGAGCTCCGTGATCTCTGGGATCCAGCTGGCGAACACCGCCTACACACCCACAATCATCCGTTGCCGTCAGAACAGACCCCTAGCCTGAATTTTTTGTGTTTTTTCTTGGTTTTTTTTTTGTTTTTGTTTTTTTCTGTCTTTTATTTTTGGTGCGCTTGTGCTTGCATTCCAATTTTATGATAATTCCGATCGCTATACAAGCGCTATGAGATAAGAAGAGATGTTTTTGATGAGAGAGTATGATCAGCCGAGACTGAAAAACCCAATTGCGATCATAGTGACCTGATACGTGTATATATAATTTTATATATAAAATTGTATATCGAGTCTATATATGTGAATTGTCGTAATAGCGACAATTTGTGCGAACAGTCATTTGTTTCGATGCGACTAGTGAACGTGAGTTGTATGTACATTTTTTGCAGAAAATTTGAGATCATCAGTGGCAATCTCTTAGTGCATAATAAGTCTCTTCGAGACAATTCGTTTGTTTCAAAACTGTCCAGAACGCGTTCCGCTCTGATTGTTAATACTGACAAACCGCGTTGTGGACTTTTTGAAACAGAAACTCTCGAGAGAATTGAATCGTCAAACGGTAAGTTGCGCGATATAAATCAGTCGCACGGTGGATAATAATAGAATAATGAAAAATTTGTATTCTGACCCTTACACTTTCTTATCTTTCGAGCCTTAACTTTTTTGAAATTGTTAAATTTGCCGAACGGGAAGGAAAGTATGTACAACTTCATTAGAACGTTTATACTAGAATGCGATGCATTCTTTGTGTGTTCGCGACCGGTGTTGCATTCAGAACTATGTAAACTTTATATGTTTTCAAGCAAACAAGATGATGAAAAAGATACAACCACTTGTGACGCGAGCTCGCAAAAGCGTTGATTTTCTACGCGAGAGATTGACAAATTAGCGGCATCGACTACAATCGTGCCAATTGTGCTCAACGCCCAATGAAAGATGGTTAGATCGCACTGAATGGGACGGAACTTGCGTGTTAGCACGATGCAAATTGTGCATATTGTCAGATTAATGATGCGCAACAGCCATTTAAATAAGAAAGGTCAAGTTCGCGATGCCAAGAGAGCGTCTCTCGTCTCTGTATTCTTGCGAAATGATGCGTATCAAGTCGATCGTTCCATAAAACACAGTGCCGTTAGTTCCTTTGTTCAAGAGGTGCTTGTCGCGCCGCGATGATATCCGAGGTTAACTAGTGTTAATTAACGTTAAATTGACTTCAATTACGACGATTCCGCGTGATCCTTCTTTTTGCCAGGGAGGAGAGCGGAAAAGTATATCGTCATCATTTTGCGCGAAGTGTCGCAAAAAATCAATTTAACGGCATGCAATCTCACTATAACAGCGCATGATGCCGACGATTTCGAATACTCAACAACATTCTGGAACTGTAAATACTGTTAAAAATACACTCGCTCTATAAACTAGAGATCTATGATGATTGTTTTAATCGGGGGAAAACTCGGGAAGATAAATAGAAGCTAGGATTGTTTTTTTAGTGTGCCTTGCGACTAAATTGTGTTCTATAATAATGTGATCAAAAAGTGTACACTAACGTGTTATGTAGTGTATAACTTTTGTGTGTAGAAAATATAAATATAATCAAATCATGCAAGGCGATTTAAAAATTGTATTTTTTATCAGATAAATGCACCTTTGATGCTTTGCAATCATTTTACATGATTTGACGTTCGAAAACTATAGCGGAATTGTAATTGCAGATCAAAAAATGTCTCAAGTTGCACTAATGTTTTCATTCTAATGTGGTGCAGTAGAGTATAAAGAATGTTGTATTCCTGTAAATGTAAATAAATTCATATACATTAAAGGTAGCAGACTAAATTGGCAAACCGTGTGACTTGTTAAAAAATGTGCTTTGGTAATAAATAAATAGGTAATTCGTAACGAGCGAGAAAACTTGACGGAATTTGTCCATGTTTGAGATAATGTGAGATCAGATCATTTATATATTTACATTATCTTTTAAGAGTATCACATGTTTTTTGAACAAGTTAAAACGGAGAATGAAATATCGTATCAAATTCCTTCAAGCTGTTCTCTCACGTTTCATCTTGTGATTCATAGTGTGTATCTAACTTATGTATTATTTATATATATATATATATTAAAATACAGATGCGGATGCTTGTTGCTTCGTGCTAGAACGATAATCGGTATACGATAGAGAAACTAGATTTCGATCGATTATAAAAAATACATGCAGAGAAGAAAAACTTCCTAAGCACAGCTGCTTCTCTCGTCGCTTTGAACTTACACACAATCTTCGCCACCGAACACGTTCTTTTGTTAAATCGACGTGTCGCGCAGGGTGAAAGGTCATCATTAATAAAAAAACTCCCTCGACGCGCGAATCAATTTCGAAAATTCACCGAAAGAGCGAGAGGACATACAGTACTGGCGTTTGTTAATGATCACGCGAGAAGATTTACGCCGCAGTGCTTTATCGGCTTTAATTCGAGATGGCTAGTTGGACTGACACCAGAAAGTGTCCACTTCTGGTAGCCGCAGATGGCCGAACATTTACCTGGCCGCAAATGGCCTACATTCAACGCGATACAACAAAAATCGATACACCGATTTTATGACCAAATTTACAAGTAAACACCACATTGTGAAATGTATATATACATTATTATTACTTACTTTTATATTTATCCAGTCGCGAGAAAAACTGATCAAAAAGAGAGAAATAAAAGAAAAACTTTTATACATTCCCAATTCGCACGTTTTAATTACGTTCCCATATCACGCAAAAATGTACCCAATGTTGTTACTTTGATTTGACAGTTGCTTGTTATACGATTGCGAAATGCGCGCTGCCGGATATCGGGGTTTTCAATTCCGATCGTTTCCACATTTTTTTCTTTTTTTAGTTTTTGTTGGAACATCATTTGCTCGTGTCGATCATGGAACTCTTTCCTTCTAGCTTTATTGGACCTTTCACCGTGGACGAGCGCCGTGTGATTCATCGGAAAACGAAAGGGAACGCCAACGACGATCGTACCGCATACGCACGGTCGTTATACGAGTCGTACCCTATACTTCCGACTGCTGTAAATTTTCATGCATTCATCACCCGGTCCTCGAGCTCTTGACGTTCTGCATTAATGTAGAACGATGATTGAACAATGATGAACGTCACCGCGCGTATATGTATTCGTGTGCCCGCGGGTGCAAATGTGCAAAATGTTTTGCGTCAAATATTATAAGTGTTTCCATGTGCGAGTGCGTGTAATGCGCGCGCGTACGTTCTTTGTTAATATATAAATTTATTTGCGAGATATAAGTATATACATATACATACTGGAAGGAAAAAGTAAAAAAATTAATAGACAAAAGACAGAGGATGGTTTTTGTTTCTAGGATGTAATTTGATAATAATACCTCTTTCCATGCTCCCGCTTGTACTCGCCGCTGTACTTGGACCTATTGCCTACGAGCTCTATTATCTCGGGTATGCTACTAGCAAAAATTGCCTGCAAATAGAAATTATAACTGGAAAAACACTATGCGACTACGGTTCATTAAAAGAGCAAACTGGGTCACCTATATACGTAATGTAATTGCGTCTAGCAGCAGTGCTTCCGCATCGTATTGGCGTAAAACTCAGGTGCGTGTCTCGTATCAGGAACGGGGATGGAAGAGAAGAAAAGGGAGGAAGAAAAATGGGGATAAAATGCGATTGGGTGATAACAATCTATGATTTGTTTAGGTTTAGGTTTCGTGTTCGCTCGTGTGTTTGTTTACGTGACACATGTGGTGTGTTTTTGGATAGATTGATATTCCGGGCGATGAAACCAATGTGTACGTGTGTGTGCATATATAAAGAACACAATATGTATACTGTAATAAGAGAGTACTTCCCCGATCGTTATATCAGCGAATCCATTATGATTCAGTTGCGAGCGGCAATAAATCGACCTTGTTGTTTCGCGCACACCATTGCACTCAAAGAATATTAAATTAACATGTCTATAATTATAGGTACAATACACGTAATACACGTTGTGTTAGATCTCACAAAATTGCATTTTGGATAACATTTTATAACGTTAATATAACAAATTATAAACTCTGATTCCCTATTAAAATGATTATAATTTAATTTACAATATTATTTATACGCCTCATGAGAAAATATTATAGTTAATTAAATAAAAATTACGCACTGTTGTTTCAATATAAAAAATAATAATCTTGATTTTTCATGTTTCAATATCACGCGAAACAAAACAAAGTCGATTTTATGCGTTTTCATGTTTGATGTGATCATAGTATAAAATATTTTCTGTATCACACAATATAATTTTGTGTTACAATGTAAATCGTCGTATACTTACGAAAACTTTGTTGTAACTGTAAAACGAATTGTTGAATCATCGGTGTAAATGTTTTAAGAGTTATGTGTGTGCAGAGTAATACTATTTATATATAAATATATGTGAGCGTAAAGTAGAAGCAGTACATTAAGCAGAAAAAGTTATAGATAGCAATAGAAAGCAAAAAGAAACAGCAGAAATATATTTCTAAAATATATTTATTAATATATTCTGAGACAATATTAACATTATTTATAAATATAATTTATATTTCAAAGTTGCACATATCAATAGTTTTAATCAACAGTTTAATTTTTTCTTCTTTTATCTCTCTATACTTACAATCAGTTAGAGATTTAAAACGCATACTTTAGAACAATATTATTCAATCAAATGAACGAAAATTAAATTCATAATTTTACATATTATACTTCTGCTACTTTATAAATAAACAGAATAAATATTATGTACAAGAGAGAGATATAAACATGATAAAGATATAAATAAAAAAACTCATAATAAATTATAAAAAAAAAAAACAGATGTAGAAAAATGCAAGCAGTTCTTTTTTGGAAAAACGGAGGCGAGAAGGAAATGTTTGAAAATTGAATTTGCTTCGTGCACGAGCAAAATGAAGAGAAGCGCTATTACAATAAATTGTCTCATAACGTTGAATGTATGTAACTATATATAAAAAAGAACATGATTCATCACGAACGATCGAAAATCGTGTCATGTCACGGCACGTAAATTGCCTTTTTAACGTAAACGCTGATAGTGATCCGGGCGTTTGTGTCGCAAACATCGTATATAACTAGGCAACTAAAGACACTGCGATCAATGAAATTATCGTATAATAAAAGAGATAGAATAGTGAGAAAAAAGTGTCGACACTTTGCGCTCGACATAGATGTGTACGCTCTCTAGAAACAGCCATAGAGAATAGGCGTCCTGTAAAGTACAATAGCATGGCGAAGCAGCGAATTGTACGATCGCGATCGTTTCGCCGAGTGATAAGTACGCACAGAAAGAGAGAGAGAGAGAGAGAGAAAGAGAGAGAGAGAGAGAGAGAGAGAGGGAGAGAGAGAGAGAGAAAACACTCACGTATTCAGAACTCAGAGAACTTTAGCTGAATTTATAGTGAGTATCACACACATATTCTGAAATTTAATAGATAAAGCTCTTTACAACCCCTGTAACAACAAATTTTTAATAAAACATTATTTCCTGAAAGTTTGTGAAAATTATAACTTGCAAATCCAGGGTTTGTAAGCGATATAAGTTTATTTGCAAATCTGAGATTTGTAACCAAATAACTATGGATTTTTGACAGTGTAATCACAAGAAGAACAAACTAATTTGTAAGCTCAGAATGTGTAAACGAAATCCTGTCTAGATACGCGAAAACATTCGTTGTGATATATGTACATATATCACTGTCGACGTGCAATATTCTGCTGAATTGAATAAATTATAATATGCATGAGCACTTGTGATTACTCTTCGTAATATATATCATTGAAGATTGCACCACATTTCGAATTTACAACAAGACACTCAAATTAGCAAAAATAATTGGATACGTAATTAATTTGGTTAAAAAAGTGTTTTTCCTCTCGAGATAATAAATGCATCAGCAATGCGCGGTGCGTAAAATAACGTTGTTTAAAGATTAATAAATATTGTACGTAGACGAATTTGCTACGTAGCCGCTCGTGTGTTCACAAAATATATACTGAATTCGATTCCTGAAAGCGCACATTATGCCGGAGAGACGTGTGATATCATACTTTCAGATGAGCGTGCCAAAGCGCATTGAAAGTGTTCCAAAAGAACCTCTCCTTTAAATGTTACGAGGACATAATTTTTCATTCTTGACTGAATGTGACTAATCGAACAGACTGAGCAATTCGGTTACAAACCTCTCGGTGCAAAACCGGACAGGACACACCACGCCTCTTCTTTTCCCGTTAATAAAGATACACATCTAGTAGATAATATTTATAGAAAAACGATCGTTTATCTATTTGCGTATAAAATATGCATATTATAAAATAGACTGAATTGCGAACTTACATCAACATTATGGAATATAAACAGATATAATATCAGATTAAAATTCCGCATAAAGCCGTCGATAGAAAGATTTATGATCCGTGAAAAATGTTCAGATAAAAGAGAAAGAAACGTAAAACTTTGCTCTCAGTCCGTTGTTTTGTAAAAAAAACAATCAAACTTAATTTTTCCATTTTCGATAATCAGAAACTGCCAATTTGCGGGGAAAAATCCCGAAGTTATCGAGGCGCGGAGATACTCTATATCTCGAAAACTGTTCTCTAACAAAGTTTACAACGCGACATTTAAGATCGATGGAAAGACAAAGTGGCGTCTCCTGTCCTCGTAATACTATAAAACTATATTACTTGTGCAGCTTTCACTGTTTCGTCGACTGGCGGAAGCGAAAGAGAGAAGCAAACGGACGTTTGTTGCACGAGTTTCGTGATTACCGTTAATACCGTCGTACTCGGAATTCATTAACGAGAGTACCGCGCGTTCCACGATCGCGACAATTCGTAAAAATAAAGTTGAAGCTGCTAGAACAGTATCTCTATCGTAAATATGAGCAGCGTGTTCAGCGTCGCAAGAAACACACACACACAGAAGAATAGACAATTAAGTATAATCAAGCGCGTACAGACATTAACATTTGTCGAAGCCGTCGGGATCTGACGATCGCCGACACAGATACGATAATAAAGTTGACATAAGATTTACGTGATAATAACAAGAACCTCGAATCTTTAACCGTGAACAGCCGAATCAACAGTATTGTAGAATTAAAACAGTATAATGATAATAATCTGTAAATTTCTTTTTACATCTTATGTAATATTTATTTAATCAAAAGTGTTATCGCGACGAAACAAAAAAATGCATCAAGATTTCGCAAAAATTTAAAAATCTTTCTTGTTCGTTAAAACTTGTTTTGCCAGGGAATAACTTGCGTAGTTTTGTGATGATACAAACTGAAATTTTGTTTTCCCTTTCTCATGTTTCCCTTCGGGTATAGTACTTTGATAGTTCGAAACAAAATTTACGGATCTTTCTATCGCTTGAAGTTTCGAGGCTCTTTATGCAATAAAGATCCTTTTCGATATTCGTTATCATCATGAAAAATGAGTTCGCAACGTATATAATACTGTAGCGCATTCGCATGACAAGCCGAATCGATTAAATCCGAGTAATCGATTCGCGACATTGTTATCTACAGATAATTCTTCGATCGAAGAGGAAAGATAGACAGTGGCTGTAGCAAAACTCGTAGATCCAATTTAAGCCGTAAAAAAAAAAAGAAAGAGAATTAGAGAAAGAAATAGAAAAAAAGAAAGACAGAGACAGACAGACAGACAGA